CAACAGATGAATGAATAAAGAAAATTATACACACACACACACACACATATATACAATGGACTATTACTCAGCCATCAAAAAAAAAGAAATCTTGCCATTTGCAACAACGTGGATGGAACTATAGGGTATTATGTTAAGCAAAATAAGTCAATCAGAGAAAGACAATTATCAAATGAATTCACTCATACAGAATTTAAGAAATAAAATAGAGGAGCATAGAGGAAGGGGGCGAAATAAAACAAGACAAAATCATAGAGGGAGACAAACCACAAGAGATTTTTAACCATAGGAAACAAACTGAGGGTTGCTGGAGGGGAGGAGGGAGTGGGGGGATGGGGAAACTGGATGATGGGCATTAAGGAGGGCACATGATGTAATGAACACTGGGTGTTATATGATGAATCATTGAACTCTACCTCTGAAATGAATAATACACTGTATGTTAATTCTTGAATGTAAATAAAATTTAAAAAGAAATAGTGAAAAAATAATAAATTTTTCAGTAGCTACATTAAAAAATAGGTGAAATTAATTTTAATATCTTTAACCCAGTTTATTGAAAAATTCAACATATCATAGAGATAAAAATTATAAATAAAAATTTTAAATTAGATATTTTATTATATTGTGTTTGTTACATTGTGTAAGAATGTGCATTAACATTGTGTAAACATCCTGTGTATTTTTTATTTAGGGCACACCCAATTCAGACTAGCCTCATTTCAAATATGCAATAGCCATATGTGGCTACTATCTACTGTATTGGACATCTCTGGTCTAGGGCTTCCAAAATCTGACTCAGAAATTGTTTTTGGCTTTATGCTTCCTAAAGAAATAATTTTTAAATAAGTTAGTCAACATTTCTTCTTTAATACATGCACATGCCAATAGACTTAGTGTACATATTCAAATAGTCTGTTACTTTCACTCAGCAGGTTTTTCTGAGTGTCCAGTGGGATACCTACTCTATCAGCATGGGCTATGATTTACCCACTGGTGTTTTAATTGTGAGCTGACCCCACCCCCACCCCCACCCCCACGGTGCCTATCCTTTTTGGAGCTTGTGAGTTTGTGGAAGAGACCTGCAAAATAAAACAAAACCCAGTAAATGCAGTAATTGTAAATTATCCGTGATGGAAACATATGAGAGACTGAGATACTGGATAACCATGGTGGGATGGCTTTACAGAATCTCAGTTGAATTGACATAAACTGGGAGATAAAGATGAAAATGAGTCCGCCACACACAAAAGTGGAGCAAGAGTAGATCAAGTAGAGGAAATGGCATGTACAATAGCCTGAGGCTTGCATCCCTTTGAAAGAATCCCAAGAAAATGAGTATGGCTGAAGGTCGATGAAGCGGGGGAGTGGTGGGAGAGGAGAGGAGTCTGTGGCAGTGGGGTCTCTGGGGACTTTGTGAGCTATAGAAAGAAGTTGAAATATTTAAGTGCCCTAAAATCTCTTGTTTTAAAGATTGATTGATTTGGAGTGTGAGCTCTAGTGGGGGGGAGGGGCAGAGGGAGAGAATCTCAAGCTGACTCCATGCAGAGTGTGGAGCCCAGCACAGGGCTCAATCTCATGACCCTACAATCATGACCTGAGCCAAAACCAAGAGTAGGAGTTTTAACCAACAGCATCCCCCAGGTTCTCCTAAGTCTTTTTTTTTTTAAAGATTTTATTTATTGATTTGACAGAGATCACAAGTAGACAGAGAGGCAGAGAGAGAGAGAGAGAGAGAGAGAGAGAGGGAAGCAGGTTCCCTGCTGAGCAGAGAGCCCGATGCGGGACTCGATCCCAGGACCCCGAGATCATGACCTGAGCCGAAGGCAGCGGCTTAACCCACTGAGCCACCCAGGCACCCCTCCTAAGTCTTTTTGATTGTGAAGACTGCCTTAACTTCAGATTATTCTGTAGACTAAAGGTAGAAATTCAGTCAAGTGAAAGATGGAATAAAGTTTGTTCTATACATCTCACAGTGTTATTAATGATGGGAATAAGGTATGTGAAAGATCTGTGGAGTCTGTATAATGATCTATAGAGGCAAAATGGTGAAAAGAAAGATGTAGAGGTGCTAAACCTAGCTGGCTTTGTTGATCTCTTCTTTGTAATGGAATCATATCTTTCAGTGTCCAGGGTGCTTTCTGAATGGCATGTCAATTTTTTTTTTCTGAAAATGAGTTTGCACAGAGTGGAGCTAGGCATCTAGGTCTTCTGCCCTGCCTCCGGTTTCTGGATTTCCAGATAAGTGGTTGGCTGCTCTTAAAACACACGTCTACAAAGCCATGGTGACATCCTGGTGGGTCCTTCTAACAGTTTATGTGTATGTGGAGAAGGAAAAAATATCAAAGAAAGCCAGGAAAAAAGATGATCTTTTATTTGTCTGGCATTCTATAATATTTCAATATATTTTTGAAATCATTATCTCATGGTCATGATAGCTGTAAAGTTGATGAAGCAAGCAGAATGACCTCCAAATTATAGAAGAACAAGCTGAGGCTGAGAAGTAGAGGGTCATGTGGTCAGTTGTGGCCAAACTGGAGAGGGAGATTATATTTTCTAACTTGTACTTTTTCTCTCATGAGAGTAAACCAAGGACTTTAGTGATTGTACGGCCTGTTAAGGCCATTCTTTTAGGAATGTATAAAATAGGATGTGAGCTTGTTGGGAATGTATTTCCCTTGGGACTATTTAAAACCTAATTTCCTGTACTCTATCAGTACAGGATAGAGTGGAATAGTTTTATAATCTACCTTATTGATAAAAACAATTTGATTGCAAGCTCCAAAGTAATGGGTTTATGTACTTCCCTAGTAGAGTGCTCAGTAAGATTACTCTCATTAGATAGCTAATAAAAAATGTTCATATTAAGACCCCAGTTGGCCATTATTTACAGAGTCTGATATCCAGATAATTTTTAAGCATTAAGATGGGGGAAAACTTGGATTTAAAAATTATTTTAATCTAATATCCCAATTGAGAGTCTAACAGCTAAATCTTCCAACAATTAGTACTTGGCTGTTATAACACAGAAAAACATTGAAATATCCAAGTGTGTCATTTTTTTTCTTTTGAGTTTATGTCTGGAGTATAGCCATTTGGAAATGGTACAAACAGAAATTTGATCCTGGTAGATTTAAAATATGGGTTCTTAAACTTTTTGGTGGGAGTGCAGGTTTGGAGGACTCACAAAACCCTTGGAGAATTTGATGAAAGCTAAGGGCTTTCTCCATAGGGAAAAATTGCCAAGAAAGCCATGAACATAAAATGGGCCATGTAATTTCAGAGAAGTCATGGGTTCCCATGACATTCATCCCTCAATGGCTAATCAAGCATTTCACAATAATAAAGAAGGTCGAGGCAAACAATTGTGCAAAATATAACTGAGGCATTATTGTGCAGTACATCAAGGGGAGAATGTTGTACTCTGTGCCAAAAATGGAGTGTGGTTGCTATTGCTTCAGAATTTTGTGGTTAGGGAATGTGGATGACGTCTTGTCTCAGAGGGTTCACCTGTGATGCTTGTCCAGTCCAAATAGGATTTACAATTTTAAAATCTTTCGAACATCAAAATCCTTCATTACTACCCTGATCTTATATAACTTTCTAGCTAGCAGGAGGGGCAACACCAGATGTCTGGGTTGTGATCACCTCCTGCTTATAGGGAATTTGGGGAGGTAGAAGTGGGGGATTCTCAAAATTAGAAATTAAAAGCAATGCAAAAAAACCTGGCCAGTTTTCCTTCCTTCCTTTCTTCAACTTCTTCCCATCTTCCATCCTTCCTTCCTCCCTTTCCCTCTTTCCCCCTTTCTCTCTTTCTTTCCCATTCTCCCATTCTTTCATTCTTTCTCCTTTTCTTTCTTCCTTCCCTTACTTCCCTTCCTTTCCTTCCTTCCTTTATTGGGGGTGGGTGGGAGAGAAACAGAGACAGGTGGACTGAATAGTTCTTTAAAAACACCGCGGTGATAGCAAAACCAAATATTTTCCATGCAGGAGTAGTTATTGTTGCCTTTTCGATGAGCTAGAACCCAGGTAGAAATTGTATTAGTGAATAATCATGGGGTTGGCAGGGGAAAATCGGGATCCAAGAATAGAAGGCGTTATTGTGAGTACATGGTGCTTTGAGTTTTGATGCATTCTATCTTCAAAGAGAGAGTAGAAGACCTTGAATAATTTTACTTAATCTTTAAAAGTCTATCTCAAATCCCACTCCCCCCCCCAAAAAAAAACACCTCACTATGTCAATCTCTTCTGAATCATCCCTATATTAGAGATTCATGTTCATATTTTAATGCTTGTAAAATAGCATATTGGCAACTTGAATTTAAAGCATGTTGGTCTTGTTTTTTCTTCTGGTCTGCTTCTAGCCTTCTTGAGACATCATTTCCCCCAGTAGAGAGTAAGCTCTTTCCGTTCAGGGACCTATTTGTTCTTTCTCTACTCTGATCTCATCACAATGCCTCACACATTACAGGCAATCCACAGATAACTTGGAAAGAACAATTCTAACATTTCAGCCTTGTTTATTGCTCTGATTTTTCAGCTACATATACCATACTTACTGCTAATGGAAAGAAAAGCAACTTATTTTTTGTTTTGCATAAGACCAAGTTGAAGTCGAAATAGGATTATCGTAAGTTGTTAGTATCTGTTACTGATTTTTGAAGTCACTTCCCCTAAAGATTTGGGGGTATTTAAGGAGTGTCTAAAACTGTCTATTGGTTTTATTTTTGCTTATGTACTAGAGCCTGGAATTGTCTGTTGGTTTTATTTTTGCTTATGTATTAGAGCTGTGTTTTTATGTATTTATTTATAAATATTTATTTATTTTAGAGACAGTAGGATGAGGAGCAGAGGGAGAGGGAGATAAGCAGACTTCCCAGACTGGGGAGCCCAGGTAGAGAGCCTGAGGCAGCCTTATCCCAGGACCCTGAGAGCATGACCTGACCTGAAATCAAGAGTCAGACACTCAGCTGACTGAGCCACCAAGGTGTCCCTAGAACTCTTCTTTTAAATCAACAGTTAAAAGAGAAATTTATCCAGTTATTCTGAACACAAAAGAAAGTTAAGATTTGTTAAGCAATGACTACTGTATGGTTAAGAACTGAGCTTTGTAATTTTACATGTGTTATCTCATTTTAATTATAAGAGCCCTGCAAATAGTAGTATATATTCTTTTCAACCTACAACCAGATTCAGAGAGGTAACTAACTTCCTTTAAGTTCTGTAAGGACAAAGTGCCTGCCACAGAGGAGTCCTTCAATTAAATATTGAATTAAGTTCATGTGGGGGTACTCAATGAGTCACCAACTGATCAAGTATGAGTTTGAACTCAAAGCTGTTGATATTTGAAACCCATCCTCTTTCCACTACTGCCCCTACTCTAACTAGACATTCTTGTAGGAGAAAAAACAGAGCCAGCTTGCTAGTTTTTCTTTTTAGTCCTTCGCTCTTTCAGCTAAGGCTACTGAAGACTCAAGTTTTCAACATTTGGCCCCAAACATTATTTTCCTTTGTCTGTGCTATTTGCCCAGAGATGATGCTAAAGATAAACTCGACTTTCTGGCAAAAACTCAGAACAATCGTGTTATAACACACTCTTCATGATACCCCAAGGAAGCAAAAGTAAACATTTGGAAAGAAGGGTGAATAAAATTACAAAAATGGTGACACTATTTGCATTCTTTTCTGCTCCTCTCCACCCTAGGGTGGGGGCTAGTGGCAGTCCAAATACAGCCAAGAAGTCAGCAAAGTAGAACTTTATCTTGTTTGATCATTCCAGTTTATAGACCTGTTTTTAATGGAATCCTGGCTCTCCAAGATGCTGATGACTAGCATGGTCCGCAGATTTAATAAGTGTTTTTCTAAGCTGTAGTAACAATGAGAAAATACTAAGTTTTGTAAGGACAAACAAGCTCTAGTGCTTACATTTGATCTACTAACTGACACAAGTACAAGCTTTTTAAAATATTTTAGAAATTGCATCTATGTTTTAGGACTCAATTTGAGTCTATGGTTGGGGGCTGTTTTGTTTTTCTGAGTCCCTGGTGCCATTTGCTTTTCTGCCACCCCTCCAGCATCACAGAAATGTGATGCCTGTCTGCAGGAGAGAATTATGTAGGGCACGATTAGAGCCAGCTTCTAATTAGAAGTTAAAGGGCAGGAGACTAGCTATCAGATATGGAACACTCTTCAGGAGTTCAGCCTGTCAGGAGTGGAAGGGATGATCCTGGGAGATGGTCTTTACACGGGGAGGATGGATATCCATTTTTCAGAAAAGTTGAAGATGGGAGAAGACTGGGCTAAATCTCCAGTGCCTCTTCTCACAGGAGTTTCTCTGGTTCTCATTACCCAAAGTGCCCTTTGCCTTTGGAAACTAGTAGTTTGGTTTTGTTTCTTATTTTAAGGAATCTTTACCTGGAGAGACAGAACAAAGGGCCAAGGGAAAAATACATATAAAATGCCATGTAAGGTTTGTTAAATAAGCTTATTAGTCTTCAGTACATTAGTCTCTCTCTCTCTCTGTCTCAGTCTCTCTCAGGATGGCATAGAGGGCAGACACCTGAACCCTGTTCCCAGATTCACCTTAACTCTGTGCTATGGCTCACCCTAGAGTCTAGTCTACATTTCTCCCTGTCTCTAAATGTCTAAATATTCTTCCTTCAATTAGGTCTGTGTGCAAGTACCCCTCTGCTTCCCTTCTTTCTAGCATGATGATCTTTAGAAATCCTTAAATCCATGCTTTAGCTTACTCTCTTATTAAAGAGAGAATACTATTAGTGCCTCATTGCAACATCATTATAAATGTTAGAGAGATTGTAGGCAAAATAACAACATGGAATCTGAGAAGTGGTAGGTGACCATTTTTATTTTTCTTGAATATATTTATTTAATGGGTAAAGACATGAACACCAGAATGAGTATATGCTAAGCTCATTGTTAGGGATACGACATAGAATCTTCTCATGAGGAGCTCATAAAACACTGAGAAAGACATTTTTTTACTGCAGAGTGAGACATGGGACTAGGGAGCAAACACATTAGGGAAATCAGCTCAGATATCCAAGTCTCTCATAAGTCTAATCCTTCAATTCCATTTTCCTCTATTCTAGAAGCAATTGTTCCTTCTTTTGAGCTTCTTAGTAGTGTGCTATCCAGTAAGGTCACCACACATGTGACTTGTGGCCACTGTGCTTTTGATATTTGGTTCTTTTGGGATGTTCTGTAAGTGTAAATAAACACCAGACTTCAGAGGTGAGTGCCAAAATAGTCAAATAGCTCATTAGTAATGTTTTAATATTGATTACATGTAAAACAATATTTTGTATACATTGTGTTAAATAAAATACAAAATAAATAAGATATAAAATTAATAAGACGTAATACTAAGTTCATCTGGACTTTTTCCTACTTTTCAATGTGGTTACTAGAAAATGTAAAATTACATATGTGGCTCACATTTTATTTCTATTGGACACTACTGTCCTAGTACTTCATTGTGCCACATTATGGCCACATCAGTTTACTCTGCCTGCACCTATAGGACTCTAACATATTTGTCATATGGACTATTTTCATTTCTAAATTATAAACTCCAGGACACTATTTACCATTATTATTGATGCTGCTATTGTCATAGCACATAACACCAAGTCTTCAATATATATTTGATTGATAGATAGGTGGAGATAGATTCTGAGGCCTGTGAACTTGAGAGAAAGGTAGTCCTCCATTGTCTTTGATGCATAAGGCAAGTGCAGTGGCTGCAATGTCAAAATGTCAAAATGTCACCCTACCTCACCAAGATAGGATTGTGTCAATTACATAATAAAGCTAACCAGAAGACTAATCAATATGTCCTAATACTACATCTGTGTCTGCAGCTATCTCTGTGACCTTTGGCAATGACTTGTCTCTACAAGGAAGAGGTCTCAGGGTTCCACAGATATTTGTGTTTTGCAGATGACAGAAACCTGGCTGTCACTCATTAGGCAAAGCCACAGAACCTCCCAACCACTGCCTCCTTGAAAAGTCCAGGAGTAGGGAGAGTAGCAGTCTCTAGAGGATTCATCTCAGGAAAGCAGGCAAACGGTATTACCCTAGTAGCAAAACAGGGCCAGCTCAACTTTACAAAATATGAGCAGAGTACAGTTAGCTGGAATTTGGAGTCCTCTCTCCCTCTGACTCAGTACCCTTAAGCAAGGGAAACCGGAAGTTGAATGCAATTTTTGCCGTAGATTGCAATACTATTTATTATCTTGACAGAATAGCCTTATATTGGGTACTGGGCTATACATCAGTACCATAAGATTATGAGTGGACCTTTCTTAGCACATTAGCTGGAGACATTTCCCAGTGAAGAGCTTGAGAAGTTTGTGAGAGCTCACAGCCAAACAATACGTCACAGCTAGTTCTACAGGGAGTTCATATTCCAAGTGGGTGGGGAGTGAGTGAGAATATTTTTGCCCATTTGAGATCTAGCAAGTGGTATCTTGACTGCAGTGGGTTTATTGGCCACTGAATAGGCAGGGAGTCGGAGACAGAATTACTTGCTGGCCTAATAGTAAATTTCCTGTCACGATGCGGCAAAATAATAATAATAAAATAATAGAGTGTTTATTATGTGTTAGACATATTGTTGAGTATTAAATATGAATTACTGCATGTATGCATCACAAGCAACCCCGTGAAGTTGGTGGTATGTTCACTACTTTCTAACCCAGGCTTGGGAAGGTTTTGTTGCTTACTTAAGGTCACATAGCTTATGCCTAGTGGAGCTGGGACTCCAACCCAGATCATTAGGCTGTAACTAACAAAATATACAGGCTATGTTTGAGGCAGAACTAGTAGCATCTGTTAAAGCAATATCTGGTGAACAACATTAAGCTGTGAGGACATTCTGTCAGCCTTATTCACAAGTGATAATCCTGTACCAGTTACCTGCACTGTACTGCCTACACAAGCGAGGGAGCATAGGATGGTAGTAGACGTGTAGGACTGGGACCTGAGTCTGGCCATGCCAACTCAGCACCTCAGCACCTCTCTGGGCCTCTGTTGATTTGAATGTAGACTACAAGGACTACAATACACTGAGTTCTAAGGTTTTGTACAATGTTCTCATTCTCTAAATCTTACAACCTTGAGGGGAAGGAGGGATGTGAGGCAGTGGTCATTCCGGGTTCAATGTGGACAGGTGACACACCAAAGAGAAAGATCTTTCTTAGAACTAACAATGCCTTGAGAGGGGACGGAGCAGGCCCATTCTCCTGTGGAACTGGGCTCTGTGCTACCTGCAAAGCAGTAGACTGGGAACTCAGAACAATCTCTGAAATTTGTATTTGATTTGGCCACATTTCACAATTACTAGTTTCTTGAAAAGTTCTTAAAGGAACATTTTAGCATTACTTTCTCTCCAAATAAATGAAAAAAAATATGTACTAGATTGAATGATTATTAGGTATTAAATATTCTACTAGACTATAAGTACAGATGGGTAGATAATCCTTAAGAAATTTTTTAGATCATCTTTTGTTTTGATATCTGAAGTCTACATTTGGACCACAAACCAAACCACGTCACCTTTCTGAAAACTGTGAAGATTTAGGACTTCTCATATGGAAATGCTATCAGTATTGTAGCACCAATTGGAGCTCTGTGCCTTGCTAATGAGACCTGAATAACAAGGAGGTTAGGTGAGTTAACTGTAATATTTATAGATAAGCCTAAACAATAGTACATTTCACCAAGAAAGACATGTAAAGCAGTGGTTAAAACCTTTGGCTCTTGAGTCAAACAAAATAATTCTAAATTCTAGTGCTGCCACTAATTTGTTACAACCTTAACTGAGTCCCCATATTTTCAAAATGCCAATATCTTTATCTGTATAAAACATGAATGATAATAATGGGACTTACCTCCATAGAGTTAGTTTGAGAATGAAGTGGATTTTGTATGTAAAACACCTAATATCTTGCCTAGTGCATTCACTGCAAGCCCTCAGAAATGTTAAGTACTAACATTAACAGAAGACAAGCAATTTACCATCTATAGCAGGTATCTTTTTAAGAAGTCTAGATATCATAAAATCATATTTTACCAAGGAAATCATTAGACAATAAGTTAATGTAACCAGAGAAGTAGTAAGATCATTTCCCCAGGGCTATTTTACAGCCGTGTTATCTAAAACCCTGGAATCTGTTTAGAAGTAGTAGTAATTTCTTAATCTTAAAGAGATAAACAGATTCATATAATAAGTTGTCTCTAATTTCCCCACAGTATTATGTGAAAATACAGTTCTGCACATTGAATATTATTTGGTTCTTTGGACATTCACTATTGATTGCTAGAAGACAAGGGGATCGATATTAATAAATGTTGGAAGTTGTCAGCTGTGCTACTCGGAGGAGACTAGGGGATGGGAGAGAGAGAGACAGGGAGAGGGAGAGAGGGAGATAGAGAAGGAGGGAGAGAGAGGCATTACTTGCCTGACAGAGCACTTCATGGTCCATCTCATTACTTTCCATTCACCAGAGCTTAATATGAAAATGCCTGGGAGAATGGAGCAACTGTTTAAACATGTCATTCCCACAGTAGGTGGAGTGTCAAGATTTCATAGCCATTGAATGCCCCGAAGTTAGACACTGCCTTGTCACACTGAAGGCAAAGTCAAGGTGGAAAATGCCATGTTTCTACTGCCAGTGTTCAAACAGGCTGGGGAATTTTGTATGACAATACACACAGGTTTTGTTTCAAGGCATCCTGAGAACTTAGCTTCCTTAGATCTTCGCATGTACTCTTGCTGTGACTACTGAAGGCTTAAAGATGACAATGAAATTGTTAGTGACAATGAAATGTTAGTAAACATCAGGAAAGCAGCGTAGCCAAATCTCCCCGCTGTTGAGGAATGTAGGTAAAAATCTCTTTGTAGGGGCACCTGGGTGGCTCAGTGGGTTAAAGCTTCTGCCTTTGGCTCAGCTCATGATCCCAGGGTCCTGGGATCGAGCCCCGCATCGGACTCTCTGCTCTGCTATGCAGAGAGCCTGCTTCCTCCTCTCTCTCTGCCTGCCTCTCTGCCTACTTGTGATCTCTGTCTGTCAAATAAATAAATCTTAAAAAAAAAAATCTCTTTGTAGAATGTGCTCACTTCGAGCCTTGCACGCTGCACACACCCATATGATATTGTCCAATGAGCGTGATATATCAGTGCTGAGAGTATTTGAAGGTGATGAGCTAATGTGGAAATTTTAGAAAAGATAATGCTAAAAATGAAGGACCGGTACTGCTAGAAATGAAGAAACAACAAGCCTGGAAATGAACTGAGACGCAAAAGCAGCCTGTGATCTATCTGCTGGAAGTGTCTGGACTGTTTTAAGGAGCTGGCTCTCTGATATTAACAAAAGGATGACAGTGAAGAGGAACAGTATCTCTTTAGTTTGCAATAAG